ACATATTTGTTTTAATTCTGAATCCATAGACATGTCCACTGCAAATAAAATTAGTATAAAAAAAGGAAGTGAGAGTGAAATTATATGTAACCTATCATGGTGTATGTGCCTTGTTGTCAAAAAAAATATACTTTTTTTTTGTAGTCTTCAATTCAGTTATCATCTCAAAATTTTATAAACGGAAGAAAGCAAAAAAAGCAGTTGACATACCTAGATGCACAGACATACTAAATTATAAAGCTGTGAACAGCAAAACCTGGTTTTCACCCAAAATTAAGCAAAAAAAAAAAAAGTCTCCAATATTTAGTGAGTATTATGGTGCGTTTACATTGAACTGTTTGTCAGGGATGAAGAGGTGATCATGAAAGTGAATTTTGCATTCTAGTATTGAAGGGAATACTATGTCTGAAAGAAAATTTTCATCATATTCCTATCAGGAATATGGTATTGAAAATTGTCTTCATTTTATCTCTACAGTCATCTATTTATCATATCACATAAATGTAGGTTTGTTATCTATCTGTAACTCTGTCTTGCATTCCTAAATGGGGTGCAAATTTTGTCCAGGAAAGAGACAATGATTCAACTATATTTTGCAGGCAGCTAATTCTTTTTGACGGTAGGTTAAATGCAGGGCAGCTCAGTTAAAGTGTTTCCTCTACTTTAAGAAAAAGTATCATAGAAATCTAATTAGATTTCTACAGTTGTGTTACATTTGGGAGCCAAGTAGTTTTTAGACAAAACAGGCTCTTGCAGCTGAGGCTGTCATTTAATTCAAGCCAGTACTCTCTTTTCCTGAAATTTAGAGATTTTAATGATGTCTGTTACACAATGCAAAGTAGTTAGTTTTAAGTATAAAATTTAATTTTGGAATCTTATATCTTTTGGCCTATTTTTACTACTATTAATTTTAAGCTAATACATTTTTATTATACCTTTGAATAATGATAATTCTGTATATTGTAATTAAATTTTAAATTTTCTGAGCCATATTTCTTGAGAAACAAATTATAATCTAATATCGGCAGTGTTAGGTTAATGGTTGGACTCAATGATCTTAAAGGTCCCTTCCAACACAGACGATTCCATTATTATCTTTCTTTGCTTCATTCTTTGCTGCTAAGTCTGGCCCCCAGGCAACCCAGGCCCTAGAGGTAAGAGAAAGAGCCTGGAGTAAGGAAGACTCTCCCCTTGATTAAGGAGGATTGGGTTAAAGATCATTTAGGCAAACTCAGCACCCACAAAGGCCCGATAGGATGCATGAGTTTCTGAGGTAGCTGGCAGATGTTATCGCTAAGCCGCTCTCCACCATTTTTGAAAGGTCATGATGACTGGAGGAAAGCCAATGTCAGTCTAGCCTTCAAAAAGGGCAAGAAGGAGGACCCAGGAAACTACAGGCCAGTCAGCCTCACCTCCATCCCTGTAAAGGTGATAGAACAGCTCATTCTGGATGTCATCTCTAAACATGTGGAGGAAAAGAAAGTTATTGGGAGTGGTCAACATGGATTCACCAAGGGGAAATCATGTGTGACCACTCAGAAAGCCTTCTGTGATGGCATGACTGGCTAGGTGGATGAGCGGAGAACAGTGGGAGTTGCCCACCTCAACTTTAGCAAGGCTTTTGACAGGACACTTAGGTAAGCTTAGGAAGTGTGGCTTAAATGAGTGGTCAGTGAGACAGACTGAGAACTGGTTGAATGGCAGAGCTCAGAGGGAGAGGTGCAGAGTCCATTTGGAAGCCTGTAATTAGTGGTGTTCCCCAGGGGTCAGCACTGGGTCCAGTCTTGCTCAATATATTCATCAACAACCTGGATGAGGGGACAGAGTGTACCATCATCAAATTTGCTGATAATACAAAACTGGGAAGGGTGGCTGACACACCAGAAGGCTGTGCTGCCATTCAGAGAGACTGGGACAGGCTTGAGAGTTAGGGGGAGAGGAACCTGATGAAATTCAACAAGGGTAAGTGTAGGGTCCTGCACCTGGGAAGGAATAACCCCATGCAGCAGTAAAGGTTACGGGTTGACTGCTGGAAAGCAGCTCTGCAGAGAAAGACCTTGGAGTCCTGGTGGACAGCAGGTTGCCCATGAGTCAGTAATGTGCCCTTGTGGCCAAGAAGGCCAACGGTCTCCTGGGGTGCATTAAACAGAGCGTGGTCAGCAGGTCAAAAGAGGTCATCCTCGCCCTCTACTCTGCCGTGGTGAGGCCACATCTGTAGTACTGCATCCAGTTCTGGGCCCCCCAGTTCAAGAAAGTGAAGGAACTACTGGAGAGAGTCCAGCAGAGGGATACAAAGATGATCAGGGGACTGGAACATCTCTCTTATGAGGAAAGGCTGTTTAGCCTGGAGAAGACTGAGAGGGGATCTTATCAATACTTATAAATATCTAATGGGCAGGTGCCAAGAGGATGGGGCCAAACTCTTCTCAATGGTGCCCAGCAACAGAGCAAGGGGCAATGGACACAAACTGCAACACAGGAAATTCCATGTGAACATGAGGAAAAACTTCTTTACTTTGAGGGTGAGAGAGCACTGAAGAGGCTGCCCAGAAAAGTTGTGGAGTCTCCGTCTCTGGAGATATTCAAAACCTGCCTGGACGCAACCCTGTGCAACCTGCTCTGGGTGAACCTGCTTTAGCATCACTATTCTGTGATTCTGTGATTAAAATTCCTATATAAATGTAAACAATGAAAACCATTTTTAGGTATCTACGTGACTAGCTAATTCACATTTTACTCTGAGTTTCTACAGCTCCTCCAATTTTAAACAGGTTTACAGAAAGATATCAATGCCTCAGTTTCAGGACCCAAGTTTGAAAATATTGACTTACACTGCCAATTCTTCCTCTTTAAAATTTCCTTTAAAACAAAGGAATTTGATAATGATAAACAATTTTTTTTTTTATTAAATACAAAAAAATAGTGTGTCCAATTAATTAGCCAGTTAAGGAAGACAGCTGTCCATTCCTGTCATACTAAGGGTTTTAGTTACCAATGTGCACAATGACTCTTAGCTTGCTTTCAAAATTTCTTGGACAGCAGCTCATCAAGTGTTAGTCTCATACTTTGTAAAACAGAACCCTTAAATGGTCATGACTTTACACGACATTTTCAGGTGATGACAATAGTTTTTCCATCATGCTAATCTACTTGAGTTTCCTCTTTTCAGTAGCACATTACAATACAATTCAGGATGATGAATACAGTTCTTCTGTCATTCTAATTTGTTTATTACACGAGGCTCCTCATTTCAGTAGCTCATTGTCTTGATGAATCAACCAGATTTTGAATGTAAGGGACAATGAATTGTCCTTTTGAGATCAATGAAACTTCGTAAAAATAAAGTGAACTCTGAAAAACAGTCTATATAAACCAGAGAGCGTCTGTACTCTAAAGTATTACAATAACTGGTGCTCCACATTTTACTGGTATTGCTTTACATTTATGAATAGGAATAAAGGTATCCATCAAAGGAACTGATGACATATTTGTGCTGTATTTCTGTCTGTACATTTTATTAATATAATTATTAAACCCTGAGAAATTCTCATCTCATCCCAGTAGGAAAGCACAGAATATAACAGTTTACTTACAAAGATTTCTTGAATATAGTATTAAAAAAGTTTAAGAAGTTACGTAGTGTTAAAACATTTACAAGGCATTTTAAATCAATTCCTTTGAAGGGATCATTGTATGCCATCAGCAAGGTGCTAATTACATAAAAAGTAATGGATGTATGGTCTGGATTTTTTTTTTGTCTTGGACAGTTCATTTCCATTCCTTCTAACTGCTTTTTGAACAAAAATATGCCATGATGCAGCAGAAAATATATTCCTGAGATGAACCTTATCATGATTATAGCAATCTGCTAGTGAGTGATTATTTTACACAGTTTTTAATGTGTAAAACAAATTTGCATATTGATCTAATTGAAATAGAAGATTATTTGAAAATGTTTGCAGTTGTCAGCTTCTAGAACCAATCTAATCATAACACAGATGACAGAAAAAGCTTCAACTTTCAAGTTTTCAAAACCTGTGATATCTTTAAAACAATGGTTGATACTTAGGAATTGATAATTTCTACATCTTGTCCTTTAAAAATCTACTTCTGCATGAACCTAAAAGCCCCACTGATTTGCAGCAACATGGAAAATGCAAGTGTAAATGAGTTTACTACCTTTGCTGATATTTTTAAAGATGTTTTTCTCTAAATCTGTGTCAATTTGGAATAAGCACCTGAATTTAAATTTCATGTTGAAAGCAACTAATCCATTCTTTCCCAAAGCAGGAACACATTACCCCTCTTTACAAATGACTTGAGACACAGTAAGCATGGTGCACTTATAATGGTATTGTTTTTTCTTTGTAAAAGATTTTAAGCTTCTTTAAGAAAATCAAGCAAATAATTGAAGGTTTTGTGTTGGGTTTTTTTTTTTTTTTACTCTAACTAATAAAATCAGGAGACTGTGGTGAGATCTAGCGGCAAGTAGTTTGATGTCCTCAGCAGGACACCAAAAGTCAGAAGTAGTGCTGTAAATTCAGTGTGGGGCTTCGACACTGTGCTAAGTGTGGCCTGAATCTCTGGGGCTTCCCTTTGATGCAAGTGCAGTATATTAACTGGAAAAGCATTCACTTTTATTTGTCTGTACTGTCTGCGACAGCAATATCGCCTCATTTAGGCTAGTTCAACATGAAAATGCACAGAGAAGCAATCTGTTACAAATTAGCACAGCTCCCCTTTCATTTTACTAGCTAGTAATTGGAAGGGGTTACAAAAGTGTAATTTATCAGATTATATGTGTTTATCTTTTTGTGGGGACAGCATGCCTTTGGTGAATTTTCCTACGCACCCTGAGGGAATAATCTTTCCTTGATGTCCATTAGATCTGAAAGAAAACAATGACGCCTGTGAAATATAGGAGTATAATTTGTTGGGTTTGAGAAGGAACAGTTTCCCAGACATCTAAAATGCTATTAATGACTTTATTAGAACCTTACCGTTCCTTGGAAATGCTTTTGCTCTCTCGTTTCCAAATGGTCTTGAAGTCACTGCAGAATTCATACCACACCATGAAAACGTAGTTTGGTGTGATCTCCTTCTCGCCAGGCTTTGGCTTTATCCCAAAGTATCCCACTGTTTCTTCAAAGCTATGAGGGAGGGAGAAAAAAAAACTGTCAACACATAAGCCCACTGGGGAAAGAGTTTCTCTGAGGTCTGGTTCCTGATTCAGTAGACAAGGCTGGTAATTATCATAACTTCCCCTAAGCCTTGGAAATCACAGCAGCAATTCACACTGAGCTCAACTAACCTTCCAACACCTACCTCGGTCCCAGGAGGATAACTTTCTGATGCATGAGCCATCATAGAGATATGTCACACAGGCAAATCATGGGCATACAGTTTTAATGAGAAAAACTTAACTTTTTGCATTTCAGGAAATCCTATATTATATCTATTGCTTTAATTTTATTCTGCAACACCCCATGAAGACCTTATTCTCCCATTTGTCTTTATGGAAGGACTATGGAAGAGTCACATGCCAGGCTTGGTTAAAAATAACTTTCAAGTACTTAGGAAGAATTGGGAGTAGCAACAAAATGCCATAGACAATGCCAATAGTCAGTTTGCAAAGTTTTTACTGGAAATAAATCATCTCTCACATGTGTCAATAAGCACATAATTAATTTTATGAAAATACATTGCCACTATTTGAATGCTTTCTTTATTTTGAAACGTGGCTACTGAATTTCCATGCAGCTGGATATTTTCAAAGTAGTCTTTTATAATAGATGACACAAAAATGAATAGATAAAGAAAAAGCTAGGCAGTTTTAAATACCCATGTAAATAATTCTGGGATTTCAGACCCTAAAAATACTAAAATAATACTTCAGTCATAATCATATGGTCAAAACAGTTCATGTCTACGGGGCCATGTCATTTCCACTATATTCACTTGAGCCAAATATTTCTCGGCTGTTCATACCCTTCGACTAGGATAGGTGAGCCAGGAACAGAAAGACCAGAAACTCTCTTCTCATGTTTGCTTCATGTAACAGCAGCCCTGGTAACATCACCCTCTCTTCCTCCTAATGGAACCCTTCTCCACCCCAGCTGTAGCTGATACAGTTGTCTCTGCATGCTCCAGGATTCTAAATTCCTGCACACACTCTCAACTCTGCCTTCATCCTGACACTTAGTCCTCATCCCCTCTTCATATTTCATCTTCAGCCCTTCTCCCAGTAGCACTGTCTTGCTTTCACCTGGCTTAATCTAGTTTCCTGGGCTGCTTTCTGACTTTCAAATGCAACAAATCTTCTTAGCAGTAATTTAAAATACCAAATGTTTAGTTAGCAACCGAAACCCCCAAACTCTGTATTAGGCAACTTATTCCTTAAGCCAACAGCAAATTAATTCTCCATGCCCTGGAGAATCTACTCTGCTCCAGAGAGGCTACAAAGCAGGTGGAATAGGAAAAAGTCTGTGCCACAAAAGATAGGTTTGGAGCTCGGTAGAAAGGAAACAAGCCAACCACCAACCCTTGACAAATTAAATTAAGTAAAGCCCCGGTTGATGTAAGCCAATAAATAGTTCAGCCAATTTAGGCGCCTTCTGCAAGCAAATGGAAAGAGTTCACCTAAGACTTGAACCGCATTTGGGAGGTGTCCATCTCTCTTTTCCTGACTGTCTAGGAAAACTAATCTAGGTGTCTCAGGTGCAGTGATTCTGGGCTCAGAAAAGTGATGTAAAAGTCCAAACTACCACCGATCTGCCTTTAGTGTTCATGAAGAAAAAAATATTGATAAGAAAGGAAAAAAATAATTTACCCAAGTTGATTTACAGCAGTTCTATATAACTAACGCAAACAAGGTTAAAGGCAGATCCTTCACTCTCACAAAACTGTAATTTAGTAAACAATATATATTAGAAATATTAACTTATTAAATATTTTACTATCTGTCTATAAATCAATTCATCTCATTTATCCCTCTATTTTGCCTCCTTTGGCCTAAGGAAGGCACAGATATTCAGGCAAAAAAAACCATTAGGATTTCACTGGTTTCTTAGTATACTGCATTCAATAGCCAAAGTGATTAAATACATTTTTACTACATTAAGTAGTTAATCAGTTATTACAGTATTTTGTAAAATTCTGACTCAATTCAATGTTGACAGTAATTAAAACCTCAAAGACAGTACACTTTGGCTAAAAACTCAACCGAACTTTTTCCTGGAAGACTACATATGAATCTTTCAGAAAGGATATTACTTCTTTGAAGTACAGGTCCTTTTTCCTATTTAATATAATTCCTAAGATCAATAACATCTTTTACCAAAATAAACTGTTAGAAAATACTAGCAAAAACCTTACCATTTTTGTGCATTTTCCAAACTGCTCTCTTCTTTTTTACGTTCTTCTTTAGCTGCCAATGAGAAACATTTCAAAGATATAAATTACTGCTTTACTGCTTTAGAGATCCCACAGATTAAACATCACTTACATTCAAAATTGCATAGGTTATATGCTAAATATAATAGAAGTGATAAACATTTGCTAATTTTCAGTTTTTATTTATTTCTTGTACCTAAATGAATGCTTCTAGTATACCAATAAAGTGTATTGGATTGGAAAAGTAATGTCAAATCCACACTATAATATATAGTGGTGGATATTAAACTGAGTAAAAAGCAAATAATCAAACTTGACTTTGAGATTTTAAAAAAGAACATTAAGTTATGTATGTTCCCTTATTGTCGCAGACCAGAACTTACAAATTTAAACCTGTTTTTGCAGCACAAATAATTGGAAATTCAATTGGAATTGAACAGGTACCAAACATAGTTAACACCAACTGTTCCATATAGCTATCACATTTTGTTCAGGAAGCTGGAAAATGAAAACATATGTACTAAGCTTTAAAAGCATGGTATGTACATGATTTTTTTTTTTAAAAAGCAGCCAAGAGTTTGAAATATGGTCAGGGAATCGAAGTCCCTCTGTTACAAAATGCTCACACAAACTACTTTAAAGGATTTGATTTTCAAAGGATGGGCATTTTCTACTTTTGAACATGTTTCCCAGGCTGGATACTCAAGCAAAGCACTAGTTTTTTCGCAAAATGTTGATCAATTCTTCTTAATACAGTGGAGCAACTTTAGCTGTGGCAGAATACACATATGTAAAACAATACTAATGTGGGAAAATTATTCCTATTACACATTAGAATAATCCTGTAAGAATAAATGTTAATATAAATAGAATTCAGACACTTCTTTATATAAAGGTAAAGAACTGTATCTTTTTGCTGCTCAGTCTATAGGAGTGCATTGGCTGTTTGAAATACAGTTAAAAACTTGAGTTTACAGACAAGGCCACTGAGAAATTGATCTTGAATGGTTCCATTTCGTTATAAGGCTACCAACACAGAGGTTTGTACTAAGACTTCAAAACATTTGCTGTTAATGAAACAAATTAATTTCAACTCATATATTTACCTATATTAGGCGAGTGTGTTGGAGATACTTATTCAGATTATTTCAATGTGGCAAAAGCCAGAAACAATGTCGTGTGTCCTTTGCAAGGAAAACAATTAATTCTACACAGTTATATTCTCTACCTCACATCTTGGTGGCAAGGCAGCTGCAATTGAAATAGATAGGATAGTTCTGATTTATTGTGTTTATCTCGGGCTCCTAAGAAATTCAGCTAAAGTTAACTTATTATACTAAATTCATTATTTCCACAGCTCTTTCATTTTATATCATTGAAGCTAGAAAACATAGACTGGAATTCTGATGGTTCATCGTGGTATGAAATTAACTACATACAGAAAACCAAAGATGCTTATAAGCTGAATTGTGTATAACATTGTCCAGTTTATCACTACATTAATATTTTTTCTGATTATTAAGGAGAGGGAAAATTGTTCAGTAAGGCAAATTTCCCAGTATAACTACATTCATCGCTATAACAGAAACTGAACATCCTCAGGTTGAACACATGAACAAAACCACAAGAACTAACAAGGACAACATGTTTATATGTTTATAGTTAGGTGGTAAGACCTGACTTACTGTTTATTAATCTTGAAAGAATAGAATGAAGATAGAGGAAAGAAATATTGATTTGTTATAGAAAGTAAAAAAAAAGGTGCATCTTCCAGGAGGGAACACACAAAGTTTACATGAATATTACAGTGTGTGTGTTTGTGTACCAATATAAGGGAAAAAAAGGAAGGAACAAACCAACTGTATTATATAAACTGCATTTTCCATATTTTTAACTATAAGCATGTCTACCAAGGAACTATTTAAAAGCATTTATTTGAAATTTAGGTATTCAGACTTGTTGAGAAAACAAATAAGCAACTCTGTGCAACAAATTCTAAGTAAATAGGAGTTAGAGAAACTACATTATGTGTAAGACAAGAAACCACAGCAATTCTCTAATCCTCCATACAATTTCTAAGTAAACTTCCACTCAGAATTTGTAATATCTTGCTCTTTCTATCCCCCTCTGCAATCTGCAATAACTAACACTATCAATGCCATCATTAACAGTTTCCATGAAACACTCTATTTTCCTCAACAGAGTCCTCAAAGCCCCACAGTCAAGGTATCAATCTTCATCTTAATTCACAGAATTACTGAAAACAGTTAAAATTACCCATGTAATTGAAAGAACTATTTTTTTCTTTTTTATTTCTCTGGTAACACCACAATTGGTCACATAGAATTTCCCTTTTGCTGAATGGGGATCATGCAGTTTTTTCATCCTTCAAACACATGCTTGATTTCAGTTTTCTCAGTTTCCTTAAGTTAAGAATATAATAACAGCTATATCAGATTGGCATAGAGATTCATCTAGCCCAATATCCTGCCTCTGGAAGGCACTGAAGTAGGTGCTCAGTTAGAGTTAAGGATGAGGACAAACACATGATCCTTCCCCTCAGTGTTCTCTGATGATTCTGTAGTTCATACAAAATGGCTCCTTCAATGGATGTAATTTCAATGTAATTTTCAACGGATTCTCTTCAAAGAACTCGCTCCTTCTCTGCTTAAGCTTTTATAAGCTTTTTTAGATTCTACAGACTGCTGTGGCAAGTGTTCTATAGCCTAACTACATGTAGCACATTTTGTTTTGAAATGGACTCCTGATATCACTATTTCCTGTACCGGAGAAAAGCAGGATTGCAGTGAACACTGAAGTACAGTGATTATTGGTATTAGCTTTTTGGATCAGGACACTTTTGAAGCAAATTTCCTCACTGTCCCCATTTATTGAGCATTGATTTGGTTTGTAGGTAAGTTTTAGTGCTTGCAAACTAATTTCCATTAGGAGGAAACTAAACAGGAAGCTCCACAGAAAATGCACTCCAATACTTAATAGTGACAAAAGGATCAAAATAATGCTTGAGCCTTCAGACAGCTTTGAAACACATAAATTGGAAACGTTCACCTCAGATTAAAACTAACTCAAAGCTCAAACCTCCGCTCTAAACACAATGGCCTCAGCTGCTTCAATCTGCTGATCCAATCCTACTGCACCAAATTTTTCCATAATGCAGCTGAAGATGTTCTACATTACATGTATACAGATTACGTAGAAGACTTTTAAAATGAGATCCCATAAGCTGCATTTAGTAAGGAGACTCCCTTCTGTCTGGACTTGGAGTCATTATGCTTGACCTGCTTTTAAAATGACAGGGAACTGTCAAACGTGAAGTTTGCTGTTTGGTCTCACATCTGAATATAAGTTCTTAATATGCTCTACTGTTTGGATTTGGCTAAGTCCATATCCTGAATAAAGTATCATATTCTGTCATATGACAAGCAGACAATTTTAATCAATACATCTTCTTTGAATATAAATATGAAAGCCAGGATCAATTAGGAATTTCTGTTTCTTTCTACAGACAAGAGCTTCGAAAGGAAAACAGGTATTCACAAAATAGGGAGTTTTAAATTGCAAATGCTGTGAGAATACTTTTTTGTAATACAGACAGCTGTAGACTCTGAAGACCAGTAACTAGTCTTATTCATCTTGCTTTCTGTATCTAGCTCAAATAATAAGTGAATAAATGGACTATGATCTTATGAATTTGCCTTATGAACCTGAGATATATCTGGTGACTTCCTTTTACCAAAATGCAGAAGGAAGCATTTGAAGAGTCATGATTCTGTAATAGTTCTAAGAGTGAAAGAGTACTAGAATGAAATGGTTAAAAAAACTCCCCAACTTATTTCTTCTCCGTATTCTACTTGCTGAGGATGGAACAGCATGCTAACCACTACTTTGAGAATGAGAAACTACCAGAAAATATTTATTTTTAATGGGTCTAAAATATGCATATCAGCTTCTAGTTACAACAAAACCAAGATCTCTTCATGCATCAGGCTACTATGAAATAGTTCCTCAAACACCAAAGGAAATAAAATATTGAATACTGGCACAAACTGAAAATTGGAGGTCAGTAACTTATAGAGACAAGATGAGGCAAGAATGATGAAGGACAAAGAAAGAAAAATGGGTAAACACAATCGCACAAAAATCTCAGTTACTTCTACCACTCTAGTCAGAATTTTAAGCACCTAATGAGTCTGACTGGATAAATTTCACAGTATTTCTTTCTGACCTTAAATACTTAAATGCATGTAAGAGGATGATTCACACAAGTCTACTGATCTAGTTGTACCCATTACAGCTGTTTTATTTTTCAGTATCTTACTATTTTCAGAATTGAAAGATAACTTTTTATAGATGCGTAACTATTTATAACTTTTCTAAGCATTCTGGAGCAATAACAACCTTCAAAATTATGAGAACACTCAGAGAAATAGCTGTTAGGATGGAGACATGAGAACTCTTAGTTTTATGCTCCAAGGCTGAGTTCATGTGGTTCAAATATGTATGCTCCTCAAACTTTTAGCTGGTAAATTATAGGTTTTTCTGCAGGGAAGAAAAATCCCACCTCAAAACAAGGTATTTGATTTTTTTTGCCCAAGGAAGGAAATAGATAATTTCTGACTAATGTCTTCTAGCCAACCACAGTTAAGATTACAGAATCTAGGATAAGACACAGAAAAAAACCAACCAACAACCACAAACAACAAAATCCCTAATGACATTCCGCTCTAAGCTTTATAGACCCTGGACAGAGGTTCTTAAAACAGTGACAAAGATTATTATGACATTTTCTAGGCTCACAAAAACACCTTCCTTACCAGTCAAGATTAAAACCTCTTAAGCAGTCATGCTAAAAGGTAGTTAAAAGATGAAACCTGCCCTGGAAACATACTAGCCACTTAATTATGGATTGAGGAAGAAAAGCATATCCCCAGAGAGGTTCAGTTGGGTTATCTTTTTCCAAAGCACCAAATATCACATTCTATGATATTACTGAGTAAGGAGAACAAGCAACAA